GAGGCGTGAGGCCTGGAAGAGCTTAGCAGGGAGTAAGAGACAGTGTTGGAAAGTCTTAGAAGGGTTTGTTAGGGATCCTGAGGGTTCTGAGCACTCGTAGGACCTCTGTGGCAGCCTATTGCATGATTAGTTCCTTAATAGGTCATTAGATATTCATGATCCTCCCCATGCTTTCTGAATCATATCGTGTTCACAGATTTTTCACAGCCGAAGCCGGGTAATGGCCCCGGTATCTAAAATGATCTCAATTGTTCTCAATGATCTGAACAATTCGATATGGGACGCTGGGCCCGGTTCCCAGCACGTGTTGCTCCCCACGAATAGACTGGAGCATTTGTTTTCAAAAAAAAAATAAAAAAAAATCCATAGTCATCCATTCATAGATGCAGATGCCTTTTGACTTTGGGACGTTGCGTGCAACGAAGCTTGAGTGCAACTGGGACTCGTTGTTAAACGGCGCTCAAATCAGCCAGGCCAGGAAGTGTCGATTTTTTGGCATGGACGACAACACGAAGTGGGTATCGGTCAGTGGAAATCAATCCAAAGTGAGAACTCCCATCGTGTTTATCTATCCCTATTCCACCAATACAGGCATCCAATGCCCCCTCCCCCAAACATGTAGTGTCATGAATTGTAGCACCAATGATGTTGCCAGCACCCATAACCAAATATTCAAAGCTTCAGCAAGATTGCCATGCATTTCTCAGGTGCCTGGAGTTTGTTAGGCAGTGACTACACTGTTTCCGCCGTAAGTAGAACTCTAGGGCCAACAGCGGAGTTTCCGCAGTACGATGGGTCAGCTACCCGTCAGGCAATGGACAGCCCAAAGTCCGATCACAAGTACAGTAAACATAATGTCCACATGCCCTGCACACATCCATTCATCTGCAGATACAGTATTATACATACATTACAAAGCAATATATATGTGTACATATACGTGCATACAAACACACTCACACACACACACACACACACACACAGAGAGAGAGAGAGAGAGAGAGAGAGAGAGAGAGAGAGAGAGAGAGAGAGAGAGAGAGAGAGTTATGCAAGTGATTTGGTGGAGAAGGATCCACAGAGGCGAGTTATTATTCGTGCAAGTCCTATACGACAGAGAAACGATTGCACTAATGCAAACATTCAGACGCATAGGTTGCTGCACTATTCTCAAAACTATGACCAGCAGGAGGAGGGGCAACACTGTGACAACGCTCTCCGACGCACAATGGAGGCAGAAAAACATATCACATCCTACGCT